GACTCATGGTGACCCCAAGGTGTGTCGGTAGAACTGTGTTCCTTAGGATCTTCTGGGGTACCTCTGGGTGGACGAAAACCACCAATCTTCTGGTGAGCAGCCAAGTGTGTTAAGTACTTGTACCAAGAACAGACAGACCATGGGAAGATACACCGACTGGCACTGCTGTGAGCAGGAAAACAGACATGCCATGCCACGCATAAATACCTGAGGGCCACCCTTGTCACTATGGGGACCAGTGAGGAACAGGGGGAGGAGGTAGTCACTGGGGGCAGGAAGCAAGGATTCTGCGACGGGCAGTGTGCACTGAAGGTCCTACCAGCCAACACTGTCAGAGCACCAAGAACCACGAGGCAGTTGTCACAGAGCTGAGGTCAGGATGGTGTCGGCCCCCAGGCTGGAGAGAAGCTGAGAAGTGCTGGGCTTGTGCTTGACAGCACATAACCTGGGGGTTAATGGGGGGGCAGGGGGGGGCTCTCTCAAGAAGAAAGCAGGAGGCAATGCCAGGCACAGAGGTCTCCTCAACTTTGGCTACCGCAGCACTTTCCTCTTGATCCCATCACGGAAACAGGAAGCCGAAGAGGCAAGGGTGAGGTGGGCCAAGGTGACTACAAGAGGATTTTATTTTCCTGTGCTTATCACCGGATTCCAAATGCACACTTCCATCAGACCACGGATGTGTGGGCCACTCTCTCCATGTATATGATTTGTGCTTCTGTTGTGATACGGTCTCTGTTTGTTTTTCTGCTTGTTTGAAAAACAACTTTTACTCCTCTAAATGCTTGGAATCACTGAAGGCTTACTGCTTCAAAGAGAAACACCTCCTCAGCTGGTGTGAGGGGTTGAAAATGAGTGGGGCCAAAGCCCCCCCAGTTACATAGACTCAAATCTGGGGGTCAGAAGATTCCTGTGTCATGAAGTTCAGGAAGAAAGGGGAGGTGGGTGTTGGGACCTTCTTGGAGAAGCATCTCACCACACATCCCCCTCCGCCAGCACCAAGCAGGGGCCGTGAAGGGGACACTCAGGGCTGGCTTCCTAGGTATGCAAATGTCTAGTCTGCTTTAACGCTCTACTGTTGCCACCTTGGTTGGTTATGTGCCATGGAGTCAGTTCTGACTCATAGCGAGGTTCTGACTCATAACAGGGTTTCTGAGGCTGTGAATCTTTACAGGAGCAGAAAGCCTCATCTTTCTCCAGTGGATCAGCTGGTAGTTTTGAACTGCTAACCTTGTTGTTCGCAGCCTGATTTGTAACCACTACTACTCCTTAAAATCCTTTAAAAATGTAAACAATTGTGTTGTTGTTAGATACCAACAAGTCTTTTTTGACTCAAAGGAACTCAATGTTGACGAGTCAAATTGTTCTGCCCCACATGGTCGCTATGAGTTGGAACCGACTCCAAGGCACACAGCCACCACCAATGGGTGGTCTAGGCTATAATCTTTGAGGAAGGGGCCCTGCTCGTGCTGTGGGATAAGTACTGGATTGCTAACAGCAAAGTTGGCAGTTCAAACCCATCAGCTACTTCACAGAAGAATGATGAGGCTATATTCTCCCATAAGATGGACAGCCTTGGAAACCCTATACAAGGTCACGAGAGTCAGAACAGTGGGTCAGGCTTTTTGGTTAATCTTTTTAGTGGAACCCTGATGGCAAAATGGCTAAAGTATTCACTTATTAACCCAAAGGTCAGTGGTTTGAACCCACCAGCCACTCATAGGAGAAAGAGGCAGCAGGAGACTTCTGTAAGGTTTACAACCTTGGAAACCCTATGAGGCAGTTCTACTTTGTCCTGTGAGTTGGCAGCGATTTCATGGCAATGACTCTGGTTTTGTTTTAATCTTTACCAAAGCCGATCTCTAGTTCTTTCTCCTGCAGAGCTGCTGAGCGGTTTTGATCTGCCAACTTTTCAGTTAAGCAGCCGAACGCTTACACCACTGTGTCGTGGTTAATGACTAGGGCTCCTGTTATGAATAAGGAGTCTCATCTTTTTACCTTGCTCCGAGTCCCGCAAATTAGGTAGCTGTTCCTGCATCCACTACCTTAGACCCAGGCTGGACAGAGCCCCACCAGTGTGCTGACTCGAAAGAGCCAACGGTGTTGCCCTGCAACCTCGCTGGGCACTGTGCCCACACTAGGATGGCCCTTCCCACCTCACCCAAGCAAGTGGGGCTGTACCCAGGGTCTCTTGGCATATGCCCCCTCTGGAAAAAACCGGAGAGGCTTTCCCAAGACAGAATGAGGGCATACACTCACAGACAACCCTCGGGGCTATGCCTTTGGAAGGTCGATTTTAATCCTGGCTCTGTCTGTTGCTAGTTGTGTGATCCTGGACAAGTCCCGGCCCTCTCAGGTTCCTCAGATACCAAACCTCCTCCCCCTGAGTGGGTGTGAGGGTGAAATGGGAAGTTACAGGTGGGAGTTTCTGCACAGGGCCTGGCACAGAACAGGTATTCAAAAACCTCTTTCATTTCCTGATGTTCAAAGACTAGCAGCAGTGCAGCCTGGAGGCTGTGCAGGAATCTTACGGGATGACGAACTGGAACACTGGATAAAGGAAGTTCACTGGTGCCACAGTCCGATGAGCCCTGCATCCCTTGCAAAGAGCTAGATGAAAATGTTCTTTCAACAAACCCCTCCCCACCTGGAGACAACAAAGACAGGGCAGAGATTGAAATCAGCAGTCCCTAACCTGACTTCAGGTATGTCAGCAGCCCTCTCTGAGCTTTGGCTATCTCACTGGCAAAACGGAGGGGATGAAAACAATACAAGCAAACGTTATTCAAGGAGCCCTGGTTGTGCAGTGGGTGCATGCTCAGCTAACTGAAAAGCTAGGGATTCAAACCTACCAGTGCTCACAGGAGAAAGATGTGGCAGACTGCTTCCATAAAAATGACAGCCTTGGAGACCCCATGGGACAGGTCTATTCCATCCTATAGGATCACTGAGAGTCAGAATTGACCTGATAGCACTGAGTTAACATTTCCTCACAGCTGATGATACTTTAAAAAGACATTATTACACTTTTCCAACAATCTTACAGGGAGCTACTACTATTATGCCCATTTTGCTGATGAATAAACTAAGGCATTAAAAAAAAAAAAGATTTTCTCAAAGTCACAACCTCCCCCACCCCTTTGGGCAGCTGTGAAGATCAAATTAGGCTACGCATATAGAAACCAAGCTTTAGAAACTATCAAGTAGAACCACACAATATGGATGTTGCCCAAGGATAACCATGAATTCCACCACCACCTCCCTCTCGTGACAAAGACAAGCATTCTTCTCCCACCCCATTCCACTACCACCATTCGGCTCTTTTTTCCCTTCCTGCCTCCCCCCATACCCCACCTTTCCTCTGTGCTACATAATCTCCACCTGACACCACCTTGGTTTTCCATCTGATTCTCAATTTCCCCATGTGGAGGGCGAGATAGATGGATGTATAAGAAGTAGGACTATGAGGTACACTCAGGAAGACACCCACCCTCCTGCCTGCCTCCTCCCACTCTGGTAAGCCAGTACCCCCTCCACTCTGGCTCCCTTTCTGTCAGCCTGCCTTCTCCAAACAGGAGAGACAGACAGCACTGGTCACTGCTTCGGATTGCAGGTGACAGCAGGAATGTAAACACCACGAGGAACACCTACATGCAAATCCAAGGAACAAGGAAACATGGCTCACTCTCTGCTCCCCTCCCCCAAACTCTCGGAAGTGGCTTCCTGCCGCCCCACCCCCCACCCCCGCAACCGCAGAAGATCTGCTCATTAACAGTCCTGTTAATAGGAACCCCAGAAACTAAGAGATTCTGGAGGCAACTTCTTTGACTCTATTACCTCCGGGGGTGGGCAGAGTGTTTCTAGAGTCCTCCAATTTTCTCAGGTGAAGGCACCATAGGATAAGTACTTGACCTCAAGATCAGTTTGAACCACAAGGTCAGTGATTCAAACTCACCAGCTGCTCCTTGGAAACCCTACACAGGGTCACTATGCGTCAGAACTGACTCGATATTACTTAACAACAAGGCAATAGCTGTAACTCTTCGGGGAGGTGGGAGATCAGGAACACCCTTAGGGATCCATCTCCCAAGAAAAGTACAAAACACGTTGTATATAATTTCAGGGAGTTCACAGATCCCAGGTTAAGAACCATTTTCTAAAGCATACAAATGGGAGAATATGAGCACAATGGACAATACAAATGAGCACAGATTCCCCATACAGTAAGGAGCCACCAAGGGCATCTGCAAGTCTGCCATTTCTGTACAACCTTTAAGTGCTTGGCTGCTAACCAAAAGGTTGGAGGTTCAAACCCAGTAACTGTTCCATGAAGAACAACCTGGTGATCAGCTTCGGGGAAGATTAAACAACCCAAACCAAACCCAACCCATTGCCTTCAAGTCAGTTCCAACTCAAAGGGCCCCTATAGGACAGAAGAGAACTGCCCACAGGGTTTCCAAGACTGCAGTCTTTGTGACAGCTTACTGCTACATCTTTCTCCCGCAGAGTGGAGCTGAGCTCTTAACCACTGTACAGGCCAAGAAAAACCTATGGAGTAGCTCTACTCTGTCACATGGGGTCCTGAAGAGTTGGAATTGATGTCACAGCCCCCAACAACAGTCTCTGTACACTTCCCACCTACAAGTTCCCCACCTCTTTCACTCCTTAGATTGACAGTGTGCTTCTAAACCACCTCCTTCAATGCAAATTGAGAAGTCAATTGAGTAATTGCTATGAATAATTTCCACTTGGATCACTGAAGTGCTGAGGTTAGCGAGGGACTAGGAAAGACAGGATTCAAGAGATCTGTCTGAATGTGGGTGCTGGGTAATCCTTGTCCAGTGTGTGGATTCTCTGTACCATGTGGCCTTCCATGAATACAGATCTTCGGCACACCACGGTCAACTCTATCTGCTAGATTGTGGTCTTCATAGCGTCTTTATCAGTGTAACTGAGGATGGGAAGAGAGAGGTGAGGGGCACCCTGCTTGCGCTGAGTCTTACCTCTGTGCCTGTTGGTGGTCTTATCAAACATCAGCATCGCATCCTCTACCTGAAAAACACAGAACAGAGCCTGCTTAAGAATTTAAATGTCATATGCAAAACATTGTATTGTTTGGGGGTTTTCTACTACAGAAGTGAAAGTGGCTTATTGAAAGAAAGCTTGAAAATACAAAAAAGTAAAAGGAGAAAACATCACTCTACTTTCCACTTAGCACAACTGTAGCTAACATCTGGCAGAGTGCCTGGGTGGTACAAACAGTTATGTGCTGGATCACTAGCCAAAAAGTTGGTAGTTCAACCCCATCCAGAAGTACCTGGCAATGGGGCTTCTAAAAGGTCACAGCCTTGAAAACCCTATGAAATACAGTTCTACTCATACACACATGGGGTCACCAGGAGTTGGAACTGACTCATCGAGTCATCAAGAATGTTTTTCTGGTGGAAGAAGTTGGGAGGATTATTTCTCTTTACTTTTTTTTTTTTTTTTTTAAATCTATGATTGTTTTAATACTTTAAATCTAGCTACCCTTCCCCCCATACAAATTACAATATTGTAAACAATTCCTAGGTTCCTCCCTCCATGTGCATCCCAAACGCTGTCTTTATTACTGAGTTTTCAAATGTGAGAAGCCATTGTTGCTGAGAAAGTGTTGTTGAGTCGGGTTTGACTCACAGACCCTGTATAGAGTTTCCGAGGAGCAGGTGGTGGGTTTGAACTGCTGACCCTGTGGTTCGCAGTCCAGGGCTTCATTGTTGTTGTTGTTATGTGCCGTGGAGTCAGTTCTGACTCATAGCGACCCTGTACAGGGTTTCCGAGGCTGGAAATCTTTACGGAAGCAGAAAGCCTCATCTTTCCCCCAGGGAACAGCTGGTAGTTTCGAATTGCTGACTGTGAGATTGGCAGCCCAATTCGTAACTAATACGTTACCAGAGTTCCTTATTTCCCTTTGGTGGAAAACTTTGCTTCTCGTTACAAACAACCGAATGTTAACATCTTGATGCTAGGACCTTTTAAAAAATATCCATAGGGGAAAATATTCCCTACTTCCTTCCCCCACCCCATCCTCCTCATCCTGAAGCCCTATATCTTTTGGAGATATTCTAGGATCTCAGGACCCACACTTTATCCCCATGTAGATCTCAAGAAACTCACACACAGTGAGAGTTATTTAAGACCCAGACCTTGCTTGTTACAACATCTTTACTGCAGGTGATTGCCCTAACCAATTAGCTCTCACCTGGCGAGAGGACCAGGTTTGGCAAGGTGAGTTGCTGGGTCTTGTCATTCATTTTGTACCAAAGGTTGGTGGGTTGTGGTGGTGAAGTCCTATGGAGTCGGTTCTGACTCATAGTGACCCTGTACAGGGTTTCCAAGGCTGTAAATCTTTACGGAAGCAGAAAGCCTCATCTTTCTCCTGTGGAACAGCTGGTAGTTTCAAACGGCTGACCTTGAGGTTTGCAGCCTGATTCGTAACCAGTAACCACTCTCTACGAGTCCCCAAGGTTAGTCAAAAAAACACAAGTCATCTCCTGGTTGTGGATGGACAAAGCCTTCAGCTAGAGGGCTCTGTGCCTGGAACGATTTTCATGTGTCTGTGTAGCTGGGAAGGACCGAACACTGTTCATTTAAGCTCAAAGGCTCGCAAATGAGCTTGGGGGCCTGAGCTAAGCCAGCTGAGAAAAGGACTCATAAGATATTCATTCCTCACTCTTTTCAGACTCCAATCTCAGATGGAGGGGAGGGCATGGGGAGATGCAATAAAACTAGGTTTAAAATGGGGCCTCCAGACAAATCAAATCTATTTTTCTAGATGCCATCAAATATAATAGGGAGAGAAGCAAAGTCAAGGTAAAAATGGAAGACAGAGGTAGGCAAGCCAGTCATAAACCTCCAAGGGACTGGCAATGCTTAAAACCCCCTTCTCAAGCCAGGGCCCCCTTTTGTTGCTAAGCAACTGAGACTGAAGAAACAGGCTCCTGGGGCCATCCCCTTCTGGTCCCCACTTCTGAAGTCAGTTACTGGGGGAGAAAATGACCTTGCACCGTGACTGCTGCTCTGGCAGCATCTGCCCTCTCTCTCCCAGACATCAGGCTACCAGGAGTAGGAGACACTTGCTGGAGTGACTCCACCCAGGACTCTTCACCAGGCTCCTCCCTGGGAGCCCAACAGGCAGCAGCCAGGCGGGCTTGAATCCCCCCAGGCACCTGCTGAGGCCATCCGCACAGCAGCCATTCTGCCTCCCAAGCGCTGTGATAGCAAAACTGACATAAGATCAACTGGTTTGTTTGTACACAGAGGAGTCACACTTGAGCATATGGAATCTCAGACTCAGACCCTGGGATTCCATAAGAATCGGAATGCCTGGGGTGCACGGAGGTAGGGGGGTGAAGCGTGCGGGGTACTGCGCAGGTAAATGTGACATCTGGTTTGCGCCTATCTCCATATTTTCTAAGATGTTTGCCAAGTCCATATTTTATGCTGAGAATGCCTAACAGTAAGGGGTACAACTTCCCTTCTGTGTTGGCCATGTTTTGGTACCACAACACAGATTCCCTTAGGAAATAAATATTTTGTATTTAAAAACTATATTTTTAAAACCCATTTCAACAGTACACCACTGACTCCCTCTTTTCCCTCTTAAGTTTGAATGTTTTCTACCGTTGCCCTCTTGACATTCATTCCATGCTGGTGAGCGTGGGGGGAAGATCTGTGTATGTTTTTTAGGGCAACCATTGTCGTGAAGAATAGAACTCTTTCCACTATAGTCTGGCTGTACAAAGGGACTCGCAAAGACCTCCTGAATAGATAAAGCGTCAGGGCGAGAGAAAAATTCTATTAACACTTTGCAAAATAAAACATCTAAGAAGTGGCTAGAGAGGAAAGCAAAAGGAAAAAAAAAAAAAAATCAATATGGATAAGTCCCAGTGCTTGGGGGGAAAACTTTTCAGCAATTGCAAAAGACTTATTAATTCAGAGAAGCCATCAATGCCATGGAAATCTGGCAGAACAGCAAGAGCTGAAACTAGAAGAATTTGAATATACAAAGACTGAGTAGAATGACAAACTCGGCCTCACATACGGGACTGTTTCTCACGGTTCTATGTGACTCAAACACAAGAGGCCTGTGTGAGCTTTGTCAGAGGAAAAGAAGGGGCGCAGCTGAAGTAACAGGCATTCAACCTCGGAACAAGCTCACTCCTCTCTGTCTTGTTCCCTCTCCCTTTCTCCTCTCTCTCTCACACACAGGCACACATGTGAAACACAGTTAGTTTAGCTGGCTGTGCAGAATCCTGAACTTCATACACGCTAAGCCTAATTCAAGGACCCCTCATAGTAAGTACAAAAAGGGTTAAGCCCTTGGCTACGACCCAAAAGGTCGGTGGTTCAAGTCCACCCAGAGGGGCTCTGAAGGAGAAAGACGTGATGACCTGCTTCCATAAACGATTACAGCCCTATGCGGGCAGGTCTGCTCTGTTGCATGGTGTTGTTATGAGTTGCAATCAACAATCCCTAACAACAACAAGAAGACAGCATTCAGGGTTTTCTCTTGAAGAACGCAAAGGATTAGAGGAGCTGGAAACAGGCATTTTCTGGCCTCAGTAGAAAACATCATTGTTGTTGGTAGTTGCTATCAAGTAGAAACCTACTCATGGATGTAGACTATGTATCCAGAGTAGAACTGCACACTGTAGGATTTTCAAGTCTGTGACCTTGCACTCCAGTGTAGAGATGCTAAAGCAAATGGGAGAAATGAGAAGCCAAAAGAGCTGAGCAGAAAATTTCAAAGGTCAGCTCTAGAAGACAGAGTCAAATGCTATAATAAAATGTGCAAAGACCTGGAGTTAGAAAACACACAGCATCTCTCAAGCTGAGGGAACGGAAGAAAAAATTCAAAGTCTCAACTTGCAATAGTGAAGGATTCTATGGGTAAAATGTTGAGTGATGCACAAAGCATCAAAAAGAAGATGGAAGAAATACACAAGTCAAGGTACCAAAAAGAAATGGTTGCTGTTCAACCATTTCAAGAGGTAGCATTTGACCAAGAGCCAATGATACTAAAGGAAAAAGTCCAAGCAGCACTTATGGCATTGGTAAAGAACAAGGCACCAAGAATTGACGGGATACAAATTGAAATCTTTCTAAAAACTGATGCAGCACTGGAGGCACTCACATGCCAACAAATTTGGAAGATAGCTACCTGGTCTACTCATTGGAGGAGATCCAAAGGCTTTTGATTGTATGGATCATGACAAGCTATGGCAACATTGCTGAGAATGAGTATTCAGAAACACTTACTTATGCTCATGAGGAACCTGTCCATGGACCAAGAGACAGTGATTCAAGCAGAATAAGGGAACACTGTATGGTTTAAAATTAGGAAAGGTGTGCGCCAGGGTTGTATTCTTTCTCCATACTTCTTCAATTTGTGTGCTGATCAAGAAATCTGAGAAGCTGGATTGTATGAAGAAGAACATGGCATCAGGATTGAAGGAAGGCTCATTAACAACTTGTGGTATGCAGATGATACAACCTTGTTTGCTGAAGCCAAGAAGACTTAAAATACTTACTGATGAACATCAAAGACCACAGTCTTCAGTATGGGTTGCACCTTAAAGAAAATGAAAATCCTCGCCACTGACCAATAAACAACATCAAGATAAATGGAGAAAGATTGAAGTTGTCCAAGACTTCATCATTTTACTCAAATCAACCATCAACACTCATGAAAGCAGTACTCAAAAAAAAAAATCAAACGTATTGCATTAGGCAAATCCGCTGCACAAGACCTCTTCAAAGTGTTCAAGAGCAAAGATGTCAGTTAGAGGACTAAGTTGCACCTGACCCAAGCCATGGTATTTTCAATAACCTCATATGCATGTGAAAGTTGGACAATGAATAGGGAAGACCATAGAATTGATGCATTTGAGTTATGGTGTTGGAGAAGAATATTAAAAGTACCATGGACTGCCAAAAGAACAAATTTGTGCTGGAGTAAGTACAACCAGAATGCTCTCTGGAAGATATATGGAGTCCGTTCTGCTGGTGGG